TTGTCTTCTGCACAGATCCCTGAGTCAGTTAACTCCAGTCTACCAACTGCAGTTCTTATACATGGTTTGAGTAGCTGTGGTTATTTTTCTTTTAATGTAGAAACAATCATTTTACATGTCAATACCCCTGTTCCCTCTCCCTCCCCTCCTCCCATGCCCCCTACCAACCCTCACAACCCACCCTTTTCCCAAAGTCGATCATCAAAGTCTGTAACATCTTTTGGGGAAGGCCTAGGCCCTCCTCTGTATATCCGGGCTGAAATTGTATCACTACATAGAGAATGGGCTCCAGAAGTCCATTTGTGCACTAGGGATAAGTTCCACTGTTAGAGGTCCCATAGACTGCCCAGGCCTCCTAACTGGCACCTGCATTCAGAGGGTTTGGTTCAGTCTAGTGCTGGTTTCCCAGCTTTATGACTGGGGTCTGTGTGCTCTCACTAAATCAGCTGGTTCTGTAGGTTTCTCCAGCAGTCTTGACTTCTTTGCTCATCCCTCTCTACAACGGGATTCCAGGAGTATGGCTCAGTGCTTAGTTGTGGGTGCCTGCTTCTGCTCCATCAGCTACTGAGTGAAGGCTCTAGGATGGCAATTAAGGTAGTCATCAATCTCATTATAGGGGAAGGGCATCAAAGGCGTCCTCTCCACTATTGCCAAGATTCTTAGTTGGGGTTGTCATTGTGGATCTCTGAACATTTCCCTAGTGCCAGATTTCTCTTTAAACCTATACTGGCTCCCTCTAATAAGGTATCTCTTTTCTTGCTCTTCTCTATTCCTCCCCTGTCTCAGTCTTCCTGATCAGTCTTATTCTTCTCCCCCCTCCTCTTGTCCTCCTCTCTTTTTCCTACCTCCCCCCATGCTCCCAATTTGCTCAGGAGTTCTTGTCCCTTTCCCCTTCTTCGAGGGACCATGTATTTTTCTCTTAGGGTCCTCCTTGTTTCCTAGTTTCTCTGGTGGTGTGGATTGTAGGCTGGTAGTCCTTTGCTCTAGGTCTAATATCCATATATGAATGAGTACCAACCATGTTTGTCTCTCTGTGACAGGGTTACCTCACACAGGATGGTTTCTTCCAGTTCCATCCATTTCCCTGCAAACTTCAAGATTTCATTTTTTTTTTCCCCCGCTGAGTAATACTCCATTGGGTAAATGTACCACATTTTTTCCATCCATTCTTCAGTTGAGGGGCATCTAGGTTGCTTCCAGGTTCTGGCTATTACAAACAATGCTACTATGAACACAGTTGAACATATGTCCTTGTTGTATGAAAGTATATCCTTTGGGTATATGCCCAAGAGTGAAATTGCTGGATCATGAGGTAGACTGATTCCCACTTTCCTGACGAGTCGCCATACTGATTTCCAAAGTGGCCGCACAAGTTTGCACTCCCATAAGCAATGGAGGAGTGTTTCCCTTTTTCCACATCTTCTCCAGCACAGACTGTCATTGGTGTTTTTTATTTTAGCCATTCTGTCTGGTGTAAGATGGTATCTCAGAGTTGTTTTGATTTGCATTTCCCTGATGGCTAAGGATGTTGAACACTTTCTTATGTGTCTTTCAGCCATTTTAGATTCCTCTATTGAGAATTGTCTATATAGTTCTGAACCCCACTTTTTAATTGAATTGTTTGGTGTTTTGGTGACTAGCTTCTTAAGTTCTTTGTATATTTTGGAGATCAGCCCTATGTCAGATGTGGGGTTGGTGAAGATATTTTCCATTTCTGTGGGCTGCCATTTTGTCTTGCTGACTGTGTCCTTTGCCTTACAGAAGCTTCTCAGTCTCAGGAGGTCTCATTTATTAATTGTTGATCTCAGTGTCTGTGCTAGTGGAGTTATGTTCATGAAGTGATCTCCTGTACCAATTCCTTCAAGGGTGCTTCCCACTTTCTCCTCTAATAGGTTCATTGTAGCTGCATTTATGTTGAGGTCTTTGATGCATTTGGACTTAAGTTTTGTGCATGGCGATAGATATAGATCTATCTGCAGTCTTCTACGTGCCATCATCCAGTTATGACAGCACCATTTGTTGAAGATACTTTCTTTTTTCCATTGTATGGTTTTAGCTTCCTTGTCAAAAGTGAGGTGTTTGTAGGTGTGTGGGTTAATATCAGGGTTTTCAATCCAATTCCATTGGTCTACCTGTCTGTTTTTGTGCCAATACCAAGCTGTTTTCAATGCTATAGCTCTATAGTAGAGCTTGAAGTCAGAGATGGTGATGCCTCCAGTATTGTACAGGGTTGTTTTGGCTATCCTGGGTCTTTTGTTTTTTCCATATACAGTTGAATATCGTTCTTTCAAGGTCTGTGAAGAATTGTGTGATCTGTAGATTGCTTTTGGCAAGACTGCCATTTTTACTATGTTGTTCCTACCTATCCAAGGGCATGGGAGATCTTTCATTTTCTGGTGTCTTCATTAACTTCTTTCTTTAAAGACTCAAAGTTTTTGTTATATAGGTCTTTCATTTGTTTGGTCATTGTTACCACAAGATATTTGTGGCAACTGTAAAGGGTGATGCTTCTCTGATTTCTTTCTAAGCCCATTTATATTCTGTATATAGTAGGGATACTGATTCTTTTTTGAGTTAATTTTGTATCCTGCCACTTTGCTGAAGGTGTTTATCAGCTGGAGAAGTTCCCTGATAGAACTTTTCTGGGTCACTTATATAAACTATCATATCATCTGCAAATAGTGAAAGTTTGACTTCTTCCTTTCCAATTTGAATCCCCTTGATCTCCTTCTGTTGTCTCATTGCTCTAGCTAGAATTTCAAATGCAATATTGAATAGATATGGAAAGAGTGGGCAACCTTGTCTTGTTCCTGATTTTAGAGGCATCACAATGATTTTCTCTCCATTTAGTTTGATGTTGGCTGTTGGTTTGCTGTATATTGCTTTTATTATGTTTAGGTATGTTCCTGTTATCCCTGATCTCTCCAGGACCTTTATCATGAAGGAGTGTTGGATTTTTTTAAAGGCTTGTTCAGCATCTAGTGAGATGATCATGTGGTTTTTCATTTTCAGTTTGTTTATATGGTGGATTACATTGATGGATTTTCGTATGTTGAGCCATCCCTGCATTCCTGGGATGAAGCCTACTTGATCATGGTGGATGATTTCTCTGATGTGTTTTTGAATTGATTTGCCAGTATTTTTGCATCAATGTTCATGAGGGATATTGGTCTGTAGTTCTTCTTAGTTGTGTCTTTGTGTGGCTTGGGTATCAAGGTAATTATAGTCTTGTAGAAAGAGTTTGGCAATGACCCTTTTGCTTCTATTGCGTGGAACACTTCGGGGAGTATTAGTATTAGCTTTTCTTTGAATTTCTGGTAGAATTCTGCACTGAAATCCTTTAACCTGGGCTTTTTATTTGGTCAGAAAACTTCTGATGACTGCTTCTATTTCATTAGGGGTTATCGGTCTATTTAAATTGCTTATCTGCTCTTGATTTAATTTTGGTAAGTGGTATCTATCCAGAAAATTGTCCATTTGCTTTAAATTTTTGAATTTTGTGGAGTACAGGTTTTTAAAGTATGACCTGAAGATTCTTTGGATTTCCTCAGTGTCAGTTGTTATGTCCCCCTTTTCATTTCTGATTTTGTTAATTTGCATGTTTTCTCTGTCTTTTGGTTAGTTTTGATAAAGGTTTGTCTATCTTGTTGATTTTCTTGAAAAAACAACTGTTTGTTACATTGATTCTTTGTATTATTTTCTTTGTTTCTATTTTATTGATTTCAGCCCTCAATTTGATTATTTCCTGGCATCTACTCCTCTGGGGTGAGTTTGCTTCTTTTTGTTCTAGAGCTTCCAATTGTGCCATCAATTCTCTAGTGTGACTATTCTCCAGTTTCTTCATGTGGGCACTTAGTGCTATGAACTTTCCTCTTAGTACTGCTTTCAAAGTGTCCCATAAGTTTGGGTATGTTATGTCTTCATTCTCATTGAATTCTAGGAAGTCTTTAATTTCTTTTTTTTTTTTTAGTTCCTTGGCCCGGGAATGGTGCAATTGGGCATTGTTCAATTTCCATGAGTTTGTAGGGTTTCTGCTATTTGTGTTATTATTGAATTCTAACTTTAAAGCGTGGTGGTCCACCTGGGCAGTGGTGGAGCACACCTTCAATCCTAGCACTCTGGAGGCAGAGGCAGGAGGATCTCTGTGAGTTCAAGACCAGCCTGGTCTACAAAATCTAGTTACAGGACAACCTCCAAAGCCACAGAGAAACCCTGTCTCATAAAGAACAACAACAAACAAAACAATTAAATAAATAAAGCATGGTGGTCCGATAAGCTACAGGGGGGTTATTCCTATATTTTTTTGTATCTGTTGAGGTTTTCTGTGTTGCTGAGTATGTGGTTGATTTTAGAGAAGGTTCCACATGGCACTGAGAAGAATGTGTTTGGATGGAATGTTCTATAATGTCTGTTAAATCCAATTGGACCATAACTTCTATTGGTTCCTTTCTTTCTTTGTTAAGTTTCTGTCTGGTGGTCTTGGCTAGTGGTGGGAATGGAGTGTTGAAGTCTCCCACTATAAGTATGTGGGGTTTTTATGTGTGATTAAGTTTTAGTAATGTTTCTTTTACAAATGTGGGTGCCTTTGCATTTGGGGCATAGTTGTTCATAATTGAGACTTCTTCCTGATGTACTTTTTCTGTGATTAATATGAAATTACCTTCTTCATCTCTTTTGATTGCTTTTAGTTTGAAGTCTAATTTGTTAGATATTAGGATTGCTATACCAGCTTGTTTCTTGGGTCCATTTGACTGGAAAACCTTTTCCCAACCCTTTACTCTGAGGTAATGTCTATCTTTGAACTTGAGGTGTGTTTCTTGTATGTAGCAGAAGGATGGTTTCTGTCTTCGAATCCATTCTGTTAGCCTATGTCTTTTTATAGGTAAGTTAAGACCATTGATATTGAGGGATATTAATGACCATTGATTGTTAATTCTTGTTTGTTTTGGATTTGGTGGTGGTGGTGGTATTGAGTGTGGATACCCCCTTTTTCTTTTGGTAAAAATATGGAACACTGCAGGAATTTGCATGTCATCCTTGGGCAGGGGCTATACTAATCTCTGTATTTTTCCAATTTTAGCATATGTGCTGCCAAAGCGAGCACTGTGGTTGTTTTTTATGAGATGTTGGTGAAACCTGGTTACAATACTTGTCTGAGTCACTTAAGAGTTTTTCCAAAGCTCGACAAATTAAAATGTCTCTGGATCCACAAATTCCTCTTTATAAAACTCATCACATACAAGAAAAGTGTCGACAGTTTCTAGGAGAGGTACGACTGTTGCTTCCTGGATTTCAGCTTTTACATAGCATCTTTTTTTCTTATCTTTATTTTCACTGCTAATGATGCTTCTGTTTCCTGTCTTGAACACCTCCTATGCTAAAAGATAGCGACAGTGGGGACTATCTGTATTTCTGGTGACTAGAGCAATCAGGCAGTGGGAATGGATTTCAAAGAGAGAAAATGAGGAATGCCCTAATCGTGTGTCCCCAGAAGCAGTTATTAACAACATACTTCCCTCCCAGTGCCTCCGCTTGTTAAGCACAGTTCTTCAAGACACTGCTCCCTGACGATTCCAGGAGTAAAGCAAAGAAAGCCTGTCTATGTTAGCTGGGTTAAAACAGAAGGGAAATCATGCAGTGGCAGGGCATGCCTTTAATGCCAGCACTCAGGAGACAGAGGCAAACAGATCTTTGTGAGTTCAAGGCCAGGCTGGTCTACAGATCGAGTTCCTGGACAGCCAGAGCTACACTGAGAGATCTTGTCTTGAAACAAAAATCCTAGAAACAAACAAACAAATTACTGTTACATCCATGTAGTTTTGCACTTGTATCACTGGTGTGTCAAGTACTTTTTAGATGCCTCATTTACACCGAAGAATGGACACTCACTCTGAGTCTGTGCACACTGGCTGCTGGCTTAGTATTTTGCACTGTATGCATGTTGTTAAAAAAAAAAGCCAGACTCAATTCAATGAACACCTAAAGCAAATGACTGCCATATTCCAAAATAATAGGATACTTTGGACTGTGCAATTTGGGGTTTCTTTGTATTCTCCATTGATTGGATAATGATGAAATACTCTGGACTTGGAGAAATTCAGACCAACACCTGCAGGTCAGTGATGGACTGTAAGGAAATCCAGAACCCACCAACTAGTGTCACCAATCAGTGACAAGGGCCACTGATGAAATGATGTCATGCATAAAGCAGAGGCCACACCTTTGGGACACACCTGGCCTGGTTATGCCTGAGAAAGCTATGGTTGCCTAAGTAGTAGTGCCTAGGGGTTTAAGGGTTTGAAAACCAAGAAAAAAGAGCAACCTAGCAATTTAGAGCAGGAACAGGGTCCCCAGGAGGAGGGCCCCTGGAGCCCTGGGTAACCGACTTGATTTATAACAATGAGAAAAGCTTCTGTGGTCTTGGGTTACCTTTAGGGCTTTGCAGACATCCTTACAATGCAAAAGCCGGCAGGTGACAGGGAACAGAACAAAGCATGCAGTGCCATGCAGAGGCAGTGCTGCCGGAAGATGAAATCTTATCACCTTAATTAAAAAGAGGCAGACCAGGGTTAGGAAATGGAGACATGCCCAGTAACCTAGGTAAGAAAACCAAATCCTCAAGGCTGTATTTGGCAATATTCCATTATTCAGATAATTGCCATTTGGCTCCTGGTCTTTCAGCTACTAGAAACCTATATCACTGGCTCTTTAATTTAGGGATAGAGCACTGTGGATTATACCTGACCAAGTATTGTTGGACACATGACAACAAGATTTCCCTGAAAGCAGTCAGAATGGATAAAATATGAAAATAAATAACAGCATCTTTATTATCTGCCAACAGCATGGTGATTTTTAAAAAAATATTCATCAATTTTTTTTCTTGACATCCTGTCTGAGTGGCTGTCCTGTGCACAGTCATGGTGGTATCCAAGGTCCCTGCAGGTTTATGGTGGCTTTAGAAGGTTCTTGTACATAGATGCCATGAACCACAGTTCCTGGGATTTGTCATTTGAATGTTCTAAGTGACTACCAGGAAATGCTGAGTCTTCCATTTCTCTTCTCACAGAGATTTGAAGTCATCTTTTCTGTATTTTGTAATCACATGAAGGGAAACACATTTGCCAAAGTAACTGGAGTTATTGGTACAATTTATAATTTTGCTGACATATAATTTTCCAGTCAAAATAAATTGTGGCTATTTTATATTTGTTACACAGTAATTTCAATTATTTCTCTTTTTCAAGAAAAAGTAAAATATTTTATGTTATAATCTTTAGCTACAGCTTTCTTAAATCAACAAGAAATAGGCCAGAAAACCAAAGATTTGTGGTAAAATAATGAACCAAATTCCAATTCAAAGTTTTAATAAATGTTGATCTGTACTTAGTTGTAAACTGCAGACCAGTAATGCCACCTATGCTTATCTGCCATGATTTTTATAGGGCCCACTGGGAGAAAAGAAAAGATGTCCAAAATTGCCTTGGAAACACTACATTCTCATAAAGAATAAAATCATAAAATCAGATGATTTAGTTTAGAGTGTTTGTGCTAATTCCAAATACCAGCAATGCTTGTACCATCTCTGTCACCAAGGAGGGCATAGCCTCAGCTTGCCCAGGCCATGGGCCACCAGCCTGTTTCCTAGGCATGTGGTTAATCACACGTTGAGGGCGTCTTTTCTGAAAACTAAAGCCATCAGTCCGAAGATGCCTTTCACAGCATCAAAATTAATTGACTTCAACACAATGACATGAGACTGTTGACTCATTTCCCAGAATGGAATCACAGCAGCTAGACTTTGGCAGAATATTCTAATCTAAGTTCCCATCCTGGGTGTATATTCCTTTTTGAAATGGAACTGTACAAATTGTGTGATTCAAGCATAAATCACAGGCATTGTGGGGCTAGCACTTTAGAATTTTAGAACCTGGGTGAAAATAACTCAAATCGAATTTTTTTTTTTTTAGAATTCAGTAAGTTTTTAAAAGCAACTTAATGATGTTCAATTTGAATACCTAATGTACCCAAACAAGTACAAATGTAGGCTCCGTGTGTCATCACCACAGTCAAGACAAGACTTTTTCACCCTCCTCCCAAACATCCTGTAATTCCTTTTCTATAGCCTATTCCCAAGCTTCTGGCCCCAAAGCAAATATAAAAATGTAACCTGCTTCCAAAAGTTCAATGAATTTCGGAATAATAAGCATTGTGTTAATTTTGTAGTGTAGTTTTAGAGATTCTCTTATGTTGTTGCAAAAATCAGCTCTATCCGTTTGACTGATTATATGGAAATGACAGAATATGTTTACTGTTAACCCGCTGATGCAAATCTGAATGTGATTCCAGTCCTCAGCTGTGGCAGAGCTGCTGTCTTCAGGCATAGGTGCATGTTTCTGTTTCTTTTAACTAAGTGTTTAAGGATGGGATGTCCTGGGTCAAATGAAAACTGGATGCTCTTATGCAAACTGATGTCTTTTCTCTTGTCACCCCAGTGTGAGCATCGTCATGCTTTCGGTGTGCTCATGAGGTCTCTCTTAGTGACAAAGTATTGTGATTTGAGGATTCAGTGCTTGGCGATGGATCTCTTTAGCATCTCTCCTGTTTGGAGTCATCCACACATCTTTTGTTGGGCCTATTCAAATTTATTGCTTTTGTTTGTTTTGTTCTCTAGTTTGACTTCTTAGCATTGAGTTTTAATAAAGCTTTATGTATTCTTTACTTAGTCATTTATCAGATCCCTTCCTCTCACTCTCCCTCTGTTTTTCTTTTTCACACCCATGCACCCACACCCATGCCCAAGAACACGCAACAAAACTAAAAAGTCCCCCCCCACCCACCGCACACACACACAGCACAACACTAGCAAAGCTGTGAGTCAGTGCGGATGAAAGTCTCCTGATGCACATGAGTGATGGAAAGGGACCGTTTTCAGGTCTTCATCATCACTATCCTGCAGACAAACCTGCTCCCCAGCACAGATGACTCACCAGTCCGGGAGACACAGAATGAGGAAACAGTGTGGTGCACGTGGTGAGCTCAATGAGATTCACAGTGCAGGCTGTAAGGATTCTGGAGCTGAGCCACCTGCTGCAGCAAGAAACTGTGCAGTGGACGTGGGGGAGGATGAATGCCTGAGGAGTCACCGTGAATCTGGAATTGGCCAAGACAGCTCAGCTCCTTCCAGAAATGCCAAGTCAGAGGAGCTAAACAGTGTCCACCTGAGGTGCAAGTAAATATGAGACCAAGGTTACAGGGCATGAGTCAGTGAGGATGTTAGGTGCCTCACTTCACCATGCTCATCAGATTTACAGTCAGTTCTCCAACAGCTTGTACCTATGACGTCTTTGGCTCCCTGTCGTCAGCTGAGGAGAAGGGAAAGTTGAATCTTGGTTTAAAAATATAGCTGCTTTACAGTCACATGCCACACTGACTCTAAAAACAAGAATAAAGGAGGCAGGAAATCTCTCTAATTAGCAGAGAGATGGAAGCCGTGTTGAGCTCATACTCTGTCCTGAGCTGCACACCCAGCTCTTGGAGCACATTCTTGAGATGCAGCTGCAGTATTTTCCCATAGGAGAAGTTCTATACTATACACAGTGGGATGCCCTTTGTAGTTCACCAGAACTATGCACTTTCTCAGGAGGGAGACACCGAGGTCTTTGGAGAAAGCAGGAGGAGGATGCAAAATTACCAGAGATGCTCTCAGGGCCCCCTGTACTTTTCCTCCTGTGACTCCAGGTTGTGCAAGGTGTTCAGGCCTCAGTCAGAAAGGTTTCCTGTGGGGCAGCTTCAGTTTGTGTCTTCTCCAAACGGCACGATGAGACAGTCTCATTGAGGCAGGGTGGTTGGTATCAGCAGGGGGAGGGAAGGTGCTTGATTTTACAAAAGAAACAAATGAACACACACAGCACGTGCACCACACCTACACACATGCACAAACATACCACACATACACTGGCGCACAGGCACAAAAGCATACACCAAACATACACAGGTACACATATATACAGCAACAGCACACATGACAGGCCTGTACATGTGCACACCATCCTGTGCACACAGTGAACCCAAATCCTTAGGCATTCAGGGAAGTTGCTCCTG